TCTCTCTCTCTCTCTCTCTCTCTCTCTCTCTCTCTCTCTCTCTCTCTCTCTCTCTCTCTCTCTTCAATAGAAATTATCTTCCATTACCACCTGAATAAATCAATATGTACATAATAACCTAAGGCATACCCGATCCAGCGCACAAAATCTAAAACTGAGAAAAGCTAAAGAACTTTATAACATCAAAAAACACTGCATAATCAAACTTAGCATAAACTGTCAATCCAAGCTCTAAACTTGTCTGGAATATGTGACTTGAACATAGCCACTAAAATCACTATTTTTATCCTTCTTACCACATCACCCAAGTGCAACTTTCTGTTTCTCTCAACCCAAATATAAAAGATAGCAACAATATACATACTCTGATAGATTATGTTAATAATCTTGTATATATTTTTATATATAGCATGTAAATATTCTGTTGTTATTATTCCTTAATTATAGCCTAGATTATAGTCTCATACGGCTGTATATATTTGACAACAGTTGAATGAGAAAATGACGGAATACACTTTCTTTCATGGTATCAGATTAGGTTACGAACCCTAGCCGTCGTCTTCTTCCTATTCTGCCTCCCTCTTCTTCTTCTTCTTCCACCTTCTCTCTTCTTTCTCCATGGCAGAAACCACCAAGTTTCATCCTGCTTTGGCTGTCAACAATATCAAAAACTTCATCCCAGTCACTCTTGACATGGAAAGCTCACAATACAATTATTGGGCCACGTTATTCAAGATTCACGTAAGGGCCTATCAAGTCCTTGACCACATCATTCCGCCGACTTCAACAGCCACAGGGAAGAAGACATCCTCGTCCAAGGATGCAAAAACCGAGGACAAAGACCTTTGGGATTATCTAGACGTCATTGTCCTTCAATGGATTTATGGTACGATTACTAACGACGTTCTCCTTACCATTCTTGAACAAGATGCCACGGCCATGGATGCTTGGAACCGCTTAGTCAATTTGTTCCATGACAATAAAACCTCTAGAGCCGTCCATCTTGAGTACCAACTCTCTCAGGTTCGACTTGATGATTTTCCTTACGTGGTAGCCTATTGTCAACGTATCAAGACACTTGCCGATCAACTCGGGAATGTCGGGGTACCGGTTTTAGATGCACGGAGAGTGCTTGTGCTTTGTTCGGGTCTCAATAGTACTTATCGTGGGGTTGGCAGGCTCATCCAACATAGCAAACCTCTCAAATCCTTCTCTGATGCACGTTCTACCTTAGTGATGGAGGAAGACACCCTCAACAATAGCGCTGCCCGGGAATATGATTCTGCTCTTATTGTAGGTACTCACACCAACTCATCTAATGATACTTCCAATACCGTGCACCCTCCTCGCCACAACAACAATCACCACCGCAACAATCATCACAAAAAGAACGGAGGTCGCGGTCGTGGAAATCATAATGGTCACGACTATAAAGGTCATGGAGGAGGTCATGGTAACACTCATGGGGGACGTGGCAGTGCTCCGCAGCAGCAGCACCAATCATCTCCATGACCACCTATGTGGTAGTTTCCGGCATGGGGTGGATGGGCACCCCAACCTTGGGCCAGACCTCCTTGCCCCTATCCTACATCATCTTGGCAGCCACGTCTTACTCCCAGACAGCTTGGTATTCTTGGTACTTGACCTCTACAAGCCTACCATGCAGCAGCAGTTCCCCAACACACTGGTTGCGTGCCCACTGATGTTGAGCAAGCTATGCACACACTCTCTCTCTCAATCCACCAGATGACAATTGGTACATGGACATCAGTGCAACCTCCCACATGACTTCAAATCAAGGTACTCTCTCGTCTTATTTTAATTTGAGCACAAATCGTGATATTGTTTTTGGAAATGGCCATACGATTCCAATTCAAGGTTATGGTAGCAATGCATTATCTCCCTCCAACCCCCCTTTACACCTAAACAATGTCTTGCATGCCCCAAAACTCATTAAGAACCTTATTTCCGTTCGCAAATGCACTAAAGATAATTCTTGTTCTGTTGAGTTTGATCCGTTTGGGTTTTATGTGAAGGATTTACGGATGGGGAAGTACCTACTGAGATGTGAGAGCTCGGGAGACCTATATCCCTTCAGCAAAAATCGGGCCATTTCTGATTCCGTCTTTACTGCTTTGTCTTCAAGTTTGTGGCATAGCCGCTTAGGGCATCCCGGGGAAGCTATCCTTAGTTCTCTCCGTAGTAACAATTTTATTCAATGTAATAAGGCCCGTGGATTTTTTTGTCCTTTGTCCTCTTGGAAAAAATATTAAGTTGTCATTTAAGAGTTCTACTTCTTTTACTTGCTTGCCATTTGATATTCACAGTGATTATGGACCTCCCCCGTTTTGAGCTCCTCAGGACATAAATATTATGTCTTATTTTTGGACGATTATTTGAATTTCCTATGGACATTTCCTATTTCTAATAAATCACAGGTTTATTCAATCTTCCAAAAATTTCAAGCATATATTCGCACTCAATTCGAACGGGAAATTAAAAATTTTCAATGTGACAATGGGCGGGAGTACATTAATGGACCTCTTCAAAACCTTTTTGACCGTCATGGCATGGATTTTCATCTATCATGTCCACATACATCCCCACAAAATGGAAAATCCGAACGAAAAATTAAGTCCATCAATAACATTGTTAGGACTCTTCTAGCTCACTCTTCCATGCCCCCCTCCTTTTGGCACCATGCTCTTCACATGGCGACATACCTTCTAAATATTCTCCCTTCAAAGGTTTTGGGATACAAGACTCCGACATAAATCCTTTACCAAAGAACTCCTTCCTACTCTCACATTCGTGTGTTCGGTTGCCTATGCTATCCTCTCTTCCCCTCCTCAACCATCAACATGCTTCAAGCTCGGTCCACCCCATGTGTATTCTTGGGCTATCCTTCTAATCACTGAGGTTACAAGTGTAGGCGTATAAAACTGCTTATAGGTCCCTTAGCACAGCTCGGCACAAACTGACGAACCAACGGGTGACGTATCTAAACACGAGCGTCAGTACACAACACCGAAGCCAAGTGACATGCAACGAAGCGGATTAACGAGGCAACGAGGTTAACGAATCGCACGCAAGCAACGGAATGCATCCATTCGCGTGCGGAATCAAGCTAACAGTTCGGTGAGTCAACGAGTCATCCGACCGTAGAACAGATTCGAACTCGAACTCCAAGGCGGATTTACTGCCAAATCAGGATCCGGACTGCCAAATCAGAGTTCAGATCAACAATAAAACTCAGATGAACTGTGAAACCATAAAACCGGACAACGGATGACACGGCGAAAACCCGGGGAAAGAGCTCGGCACTAAGCCATCTAGGCGGCTCGGTGAGCCGAGCCACCTTGGTGGCTCACCGAGCCAGACGGCCGAGCCACCCCATGGGGTGGCCGAGCCACCCCATGGTGGCTCAGTGGCCGAGCCACCCATGGGTGGCCGGCCACCTATGCCAAGGCATAGGTTCGAGTGCCTATAAATAAGCTCAGGAGGCTCATTTGTAATGGGTTGGAATTTTGGAGCCGAAACTCTGGCGGATTGAGATTTGGACTTGAACTTTCAGAGCTTTGAAGACTCAACTTCTAGATCTGGTTCTTGGCGATCATCCACGCCAAATAAGGCAGGAGTTCGAGAGAGATCAGATCTGAGATCTACACGGTTTTCCTCCGGATCAAAGCTTGGCCTTTGATCCCGAGAAGAGTCTCGATTTCGCTTGGTCGATTTCGATAACTACAGGCTATTATTTCCTTGGTGAAATAATCCCCTCGGCTGTTATTTCCTTCGTGAGATAACACCCGCTATACCATGTAGATCCGACCAGATCAAGATCATGCGGTGGTCCACGGATTAACCCCGACGCTGGTGAAGAACCTTCAAAAGCGAGAGACCGCAAAACAGGATCTCATGATTTGTTCGACAAATAAGGAAAGTTGTAATTTTCTTTTCTTTTGATTTTGTTGTAACCGGATCTTATAAAAAGATCGGATCTTTGTAACCGATAAACTGTTAACAAAGGAATCAATGGAATCATCAATGAACAAAATAATTTTTCCCGCGAACAATCTGGCGACCACAGTGGGAGCCACCGATCTTTGGTATGAAGAAGTTGAGAATACCAACGAAGATCTCACCTCGATTGAAGCCATGGTTGCATCAGGTGAGGCTCCACAAACCTCCAACCAGGTTAAGCCTGTTCACGCCAATTCCTCCATTATTCTTTCCAAGAGAGCCCGTCAGAGGCGATGCTAACGTTTGGCCAAAGAACTCGCGAAGGCGATGGAATCCACGGATGGAATCCTCTATAATACGGATCTGAAGAACAGGAGAGGCAAACAGCCTCAACAACCAATGAATGGCAGCTCCTCCAAGCCGCCAACGAACGAATGGATCCGTGTCACACGGAATCGTTCGACACTGGAGGAGTGCATTTGCAAGCGCCGCGCAATATCAGCGTAGGCACGGGCTCAAGTCCAAGAAGCCCGTAGAAGGCTACAGAAGGAAGTGGCCAAGAAGCCGCCACCAACCCGTCAAGTTTGGAGGCCGAAGTCTGAAGCGGTGATTCAGGCTAAGGCACAATCGTTGCAGCCTTCAATGCAAATCCAGCCTCTGGCGAACCAACCAAAATCGCCGGCAATTCCAATAGCTACTCCGGGAGATCCCACAGAATCATCCCGAAGAAGGAAGTCCGTTTTGGAGCGCCTCGGTCCACTTCCCAATGACCGATGCAAAGCTCCAGTTCAAGAACGTTTGGGCCTGATGAAGAATCCCCGAACAACTCAACATGCTGGGGGTCGCCACCACCCTCAACATGATAAAGAGATCAGGGCAACTAGGTGCACCAATTTGTGCATTGAAGCCCAGGAGCCCGCTGAGAACTCATGCCCGCAAAGGCATGTTTCGAGGCGCGTGACTTTTGAAAGCCCAAAGAAGGCAGTTTGTCCTCAGAAGGAAACATTATCGTCTGATGATGATAACGTTATACCTGAGAAGTCGTGCCAACACACGATAGGTTACTCCGATCTTCAAGCAGACGAGTTGTACTATCGTGCTAGGGGTACGAGTAAAACTAGGAAAAGGAGTCCTCGAGAACTAGAGACTCAATGCCCCTATTCTAAACTCATTCGGGCAGTATTGTCTGAGTACAACTGCATCAAGACAGTCCCTGAAAGAGTTTCGGTTTTCAAAAGGCTCGGTATCAAAACGCCAAAACCAAGGCATAGGTGTTTCCGACGAAAGAGAACGATAGTTGGAGATGGAGAATTTCCGAGGGTCACCACTAATATGACCAGCAAAGGGACGTCGACACAGGATAATCCTCAGTCGATTCCGGAAGTACCCCGGTGGATGACCCGTCTGCAGTCCGGAGCTATCATACGAGGAACTTACGGTAGGGTTCGGACAAGATTACCGTCAGAAGATGAAGAATCAGATTCCTGCTCTGTTGTCGCATCAGACAATATAGTTGTAGGCATTGAAAATTGCCTATAGGTCTCCACGAACGGTTCAGTGTTAAAGAGCGACGATGAACGTCACTAT